ACATCGGGTCTCCAGATCGTATGTGTCTGCAGGCTGTCTGTATTACAGACTCACAAGCTTCATTCAAAGCCCGATCAATGCGGTAGTCGGCACCAGGGTCGGTCTCCTGAATCAGTGTCTGAAGCTGGATTGAGGGAAAAAAGGTAGTTTAGACACAGAGAAGAACAGTGTCACACCAGCAGATGCTCAGCCTAGCCCGTCATAACACAACCCAAACAAACATCTACAGATGGTCACATTGAAAACCACTGTGGAAAATTTTCTAGTTCTTCTCTCCACTTGCCACTTGCCCCAGGTTTTCTGTTGAAGTCATTATGGAACTTGCACATTTACCTGGTCTGCCCTTTCATAGGGCATGTGCAAAACAAGTCTGGAAAACATGTCTATGCAAGTTTGTTCCCAACTAATCAGTTTCTCAACCTGATGCTTCGAAGGAAGCCAGAGTTGAAAAGAGTAAAAGAAAAGACAGCTCAACTAGAGAACAATTTGATCCTAAAAAGGCTGTGAATGTTGCTGTAATGACATTGGTATCGTAACAAGCATACTATATTTTATTAAGGTAGATGCAAGAGATTCCAATTAACTTATAGCTAGAATTAGAAAACAAGAATGTGCCGGGCGGTGGTGGCGCATGCCTTTAATCCCAGCACTTGGGAGGCAGAGGCAGGCAGATTTGAGTTTGAGAGTTCGAGGCTAGCCTGGTCTACAGAGTGAGTTCCAGGATAGCCAGGGCTACACAGAGAAATCCTGTCTCGAAAAAACCAAAAAAAAAAAAAAAAAAAAAAAAACCAAAAAAAACAAACAAACAAACAAAAAAAACCCTAAGAATGTGCTGAACAGTGGTGGCACACACCTTTAATCCCAGCACTCTAGAGAGGCAGAAGCACGCAAATTTCTGAGTTCAAAGGCCAGCCTGATCTATAGAGTGAGTTCCAGCCAGGACTGTTACACAGAGAAATACTATCCCAAAAAGAACACAGACAAATAAAAAACAAACAAAAAAAAAATGGAAAAGAAAAGAACACTTAAAATTTAATTACTCTTTACCTACTATATTTATACAAGTATCAGCGCAGAATACTTGCTGTAAAATACCTGAGAGTGCATTCGTCCCGTCTACCTTCACACGGCCCATTTTACTGTAGATAAGGGGGCCTCAGCGTGCAGGCCTGGAGAAACTATGGATAAGAAACCCAAGTGCAAGGACTGGTCTGTTAAGTGCAACATGAACTATGTATGAGAGCCAGACAATTTCATATGCCGCTAAGTTTTCACCCTCTCCTTTTTTTTTTTCCTTTATTCTTATGTGTACAACTGTTTTGCCCACATGTATGTCTGTTTAACCCATACATATACAGTGCCTGTGGAAGCCAGCAGGAGGCATCAGGTTCCTTGGGACTGGAGCTACAGGTGTTTTAAATTATAACGTGAGTGCTGGGAACTGAACTCGGATTCTCTGGAAGAGCTGCAAGGGCTAATTTTAACCCCAGAACCATCTCTCCAGCCCCAAATTTTAGTTCTTTTAACTACAGATTTTAAGAAATGGCCAAGTGTGGTGATGTACGTCTTTAACCACAGCACTCAGGAGGTAGAGGCAGGTAAGTTCAAGGCCAGTCTGGTTTAGAGGTCTAAGACAGCTACACAGTGATATCCTATTCCAGAACAGACAGACAGTGAGTGATACCACATGAAAAAAAAGTAAAGTAGGGGCTGGAGAGATGGCTCAGTGGTTAAGAGCACTGACTGCTCTTCCAGAGGTCCCGAGTTCAATTCCCAGTAACCACATGGTGGCTCACACCCATCTGTAACAGGATCCATTGCCCTCTTCTGGTGTGTCTGAAGGGAGAAACAGTGTACACACATACATGAACGAAAGAAAGGAAGAAAGAAAGAAAAAGAAAAGAAGGAAGGAAGGAAGGAAAAAAGTAAGGTAAACTGCAAAGCATTTTATAGACAGAAGATCACTATTACCACAGATGGGTAGCAGATGGGGTTGTGGAATGGGAATCTTAAATAGAGAAAGAAAAATAGAAATTACAACCCTTATTGATGTTAAGTTCTTTTTTTCCATCCTTAAGAATTAGACATTTTCAGCACTTGGGAGGCAGAGGCAGGCAGATTTCTGAGTTCGAGGCCAGCCTGGTCTACAGAGTGAGTTCCAGGACAGCCAGGGCTACACAGAGAAACCCTGTCTCAAAAAAACCAAAAACCAAAAACCAAAAACCAAAAAAAAAAAAAAGAATTAGATATTTCAGCCAAGGAGGATGATTGATACAGGCCTTTAATCCCAGCACTCATGAGGCAGAGGCAGCTGGATCTTTGAGTTTCAGGCTAGCCTGGTCTACAAAGTGAGTTCCAGAACAGCCTGGGCCACACAGAGAAACCCTGTCTTAACAAACAAACAAACAAACAAACAAACAAACAAACAAGGTTTAGACACTTTCTGCATCACTGGTTTATCCTTCCTTGGAGCCTTCTCTGATCTGTACACCTCTGACCTGGGATCCCATAGTAGTTCATATGAAAGCTCTGGCCCCTTTACATACTTATAGATTTCAGATAAGAGAAAATAAAGATCCCAATTCTATTATCCTAGAAAGAATCATTAAGAGAGAAATATAGGGAAAATATCAATATTCTCGGATAGAAGGTATTTCTCTAAATTTCTGGTGGTAATTTGGAAAAGCTAAAGAATATTGTAGTTTGCTGGTAGGAAAATTACTTTGTGAGTAAATTGTGACACCTGATGACCAAGATCAAGATAGTAACATCTTTTTCAAATATTCGATGGAGTCTAGTAGGCTAATAATTCAAGGAATTATTGCCATTTTAGAATTCAGTGTTGGGAGTGTGTAAAATACACAATTGGAATACAAACTGAGCCAGGTGCAATGAAGACGGAATGCCTTTAATCTGAGGCCTTGGCAGATCTTAATCTGAGAAGCAGGTAGATCTCTGTTAATTCGAGGTTAGCCTGATCTACATAGCAAGTTCTAGGATAGCCAGGAGAGAGGTAGAGAGACTACCTCAAAACAAACATACAACAAAGGAAAAAAGAATATAAATTGATATTATGATTGTATATACATTCTGGCCCCTGATATTAACCAAAAAAAACCTGAGCAAAGCTCCAGAGAGAATTTGTCTGTAGAATACATTACGCAGTCATCCCTGGTGTGAGAAAGCATGGGCTGCACCCCATTAGTCATAACCCAATAGAATTTCTTTTGTTTTTTGTTGTTGTTGTTGTTGTTTTTCGAGACAGAGTTTCTCTGTGTAGCCCTGGCTGTCCTGGAACTCACTCTGTAGACCAGGCTAGTCAGAAATCTGCCTGCCTCTGCCTTCCAAGTGCTGGGATTAAAGGCGTGCGCCACCACCGCAACCCAATAGAACTTAATAGTTAGTAAATGGCGAGAATCTGACATGGGCCAAGGACAAGGAAGTGGGCTTCAGGCAAGCATTTGACATTAGGCTAGAACAAAGAAGTAATTTCAGACAGGAATCTAAATCTTAGGCTAGAACAAGGAAGTAGGCTTCAGACATGAAAATGACTTTGGGCTAGGACAAAGAAGTTGGCTCAGATATTTTGGTCATCCTAATAAGCCCCTAGAAACAGTGATCAGGGGGGTGTTCACAGAATTTTGTTTATTGCCTTGCTTGTTCTTTGACTATTTGTGTTTATTGTCATGCTTGTTCCTTGACTATTTGCATCTATTGTATTGCTAGTTCCTCAACCTAGAACTGACCTTAATTCTTGCATGTAATTAAAGTGGTATAAAAGCAAAAAGGAGGAGGGGGATAAGATAGGGAGCTTCTAGGGAGGGGAAATGGGGAAAAGGAAAGGCAACTGAAATGTAAATAAATAAAATATCCAATTAAAAAAATAGTTGGAAACTGTGGTACATTTGAGGAGTGTATACTCATTAGGATAATAATTATCCACATACTTTACAGTTAGTTTAGTACTTGCTGATAACCATTACCAGTTCACTAAATTAATCCAAACAGAGACAGAAAGTCTGCTGTGTCAAGGAAGAAAATTTTCAAAGTGAAAGAAACCCACACAAATTGCTTGAACATATTCTTCAGTTTGACTAAGGCTAGATAATATAGAAGCCAAAGGAAGACTCTCACCCTTTGGAGAAAGTGCCTTTAGTTTTTATGAGAAAAGGCTACAGAAAAAAAATTATATATCCATACAATAAAAATGAAGTGTTTCTTTCCTGAGCAGTCCTAATGCAGCCAAAACCACACAGTTCACCATTTGTGCTCACCCTCTGGGTTTGGAAAGCACTTTCTTCTGGGCACAAAGGGTGGTGTAGGCGGAACTTATTTATCTTTGAAGCTGAGTCACTAGTTCTTTTTACAAGCTAACTTTCCAAAAACCTCCGGAGTGAGCTATGTGCCTCAAAATAGAGTTGAGTCCAGTCTATTTTTTCCTGAACAGTTTACAATAGGTGTAAACTGACTATAGATAGATTCTTTTTTTCCCCTAGCCTTCCACAACCTTACTAGATGGAATTAAGGATGAAAAGCAAATACAGCAGAGGCTGTCCCCTGATTCATCCTGGACTGTAGCCAGGCATAGTCACTGGCACAAAGGGCGCCCGGGGCAACTGCCAACAGGACTCCAGAGGAGCACAGCACACTCATCTTCACAAGCTCCCAGCAGGCTCCAGAAGCCTTCCTTCTAGCTGACTTTGCTGTTTTAGAGAAGAGGCTGCATTTGTCTTCCCATCCCAGCATAGGATGCATAATGTAACTGCTGTTACTATCTATTCTGGGTCATGGTTAACAGGAACCGACTCCATATCTAAAGCTCATATAAACTGTGTTTCAGACTATGAAATTTTGTTACAGATTGTAAAATTTTGATTTTACATGATTATCTAGAAAATAAAATTCAAGTAGTATTTAGTTTTTAATAAAAATATCCCAAACAAAGTAACAAATCAATTGTGGTTTCCTAAAGTGTGACTTACGTTATAAAACTAAAGTATCCTCCATGTTTTAAAAGGAAAGTCATTGAAAGAGTGCTACATTGTGGAGGGTTACACTTGGTGTTCTGAACTGCACAAGGACTTATCCAATAACTATAACAGACATGGTCCAAGGTAATGAGACAGACGCACTGCGTGGTGCTGTGTTGACTCTGTGTTGTGATCTTCAGTTACTGGACTACTTATGAACACTGGATCAAGAGTCACTTTATCAACCATCTTTCTATTCTTGTTTGTTAAGTTTGGAGGTGGTGAAAGACAGATCTTTCTGCTTATAGTTTCCCTGATTTAATAAAGACAGTTGATTCTGAAAATGATCCTTCAGACCTGTGGCATATCAGTAAAAAAGTAAACTGCGAGAAATTTTCCATTACTGTCAATTCTCAATTTCAACTCAATCAAACTTGTTAAGACAGGCAAGCCCTCTTCTGCTAACAGCCTCTCTTCATTTTGAGGAAACCAATTTGCCTTTATTCTGTCTTTTGTAATCCAATTTGGCAAGTCCTCTAGAAACAGGAAAACAGTGGATTTCCTTTACCTAACTCCACAGCAATTTTTATTGATTATGAACTCAAGCTTTGTTGTGTACCAACTTCTACATCCTTATTAAAAATCTCCTCTGCCGGGCGGTGGTGGCGCACGCCTTTAATCCCAGCACTTGGGAGGCAGAGGCAGGTGGATTTCTGAGTTTGAGAGTTCGAGGCTAGCCTGGTCTACAGAGTGAGTTCCAGGACAGCCAGGGCTACACAGAGAAACCCTGTCTCAAAACAACAACAACAAAAAAAATCTCCTCATAGGAACAATATCTTTGTGTATCTTCAGTACCTGATGCTCACTGTGATGTCAGAAGTAATGCAAAGAAACCATGTGTCAGGTAAAGGTTCTTTGGCTGATCAAATGTGACAATTGTGCTGGCTTGACACAACTTGACACAAGCTAGACTCTGAGAGGAGGGAACCTCAATGGAGAAACATGCTTCCACAGGATCAGGCTGTAGGCAAGTCTGTGGGGGCATTTCCTTAATTAGTGATTGATGGGGGCAGGGGAGTGCCCAGTCCATTGTGGGTGGCACCACCTCTGGGCAGATGATCCTGGGTTCTATAAAAAGTAGGCTGAGCAAGCACCAGGGGTAAGCCAGCAAGCAGCAATCCTCTATGGCCTCTATATCAGCTCCTGCATCCAGATTCCTGCTTGAGTTCCTGCCTAGACTTCCTTCAATGATGAACTACGATGTGAAAGAATAGCATTTGAATAGCCTTTTCTTCCCAGGCTGTCTTTGGTTATAGTGTTGCATCACAGCAATAGTAATCCTAAGAAAACAGTCAAAGTGGCAGCAGAGATATTTTTCCTTACCGCCTGCTGGCAGTTCATTCCAAGGTTCCCCTTTTCACCTCGAACTACTTTCATCAGACAGTGGAGGGTCCGCCCTTTCCGATGTAATCCAGAACAGTGGTGCTCAATCTCCCCCCGACAGCTCAGGATGATCTCGGGGCTCAGAGAGAAGTCTTCCATCAGCATCCGTCGGTAATCCAGCATCTCACCTTGGCACTCACTGCTCACTTGTCGCCCTGAGTAGGGGTAAGTCAGACACTTAGGAAAAGTGAGCTTGAGGATCGGAAAAGAATAAGTCACAGCCTTTCCAGATGTAATTACTATCCATATTGAAATGCTTAGAACTTGGCAAAAGCTTTTGCAGCATAAAGCAAAAAAAAAAAAAAAAAAAAAAAAAAAAAAAAAAAAAAAAAAAAAAGCTTAGACTCCAAAGGCCCAGGTTTATCCTGCAGGGTTGTGCACTATAGATATTATCAACTAATAATGCAAATGTTTTGCCAAAGGAAGTCCTTTTCTTTTTTTGATGTAGGGGATTGAACTCATGGTCTCATTCATGCTACATATCAATATGAAAATTATCAGGGGTGGTAAATAAACTGAGAATAATCTTTATTGCCCTATACAGCAAAAGTTTGTGGAAAAGACTATCCTTCAAAAATTCATGACAGCTCCCCATGTCCTGGAGCTATAAATGTGAACAGGGAAAACTTAAAAAGCAGCAACCACCCAGTCCTCAAATCCAAACACATAAACGTTACCCAGTTACTCAGTTTAGTGATAGAGCCAGAATTTAAAGTCACATCACTCTGACCAAAAACTCATGTGACATAATTTTCTCCCAGTCTTCTAAAGAATGTTTCAGTAGTCATTCTAAAAAAAAAAAGGTCTAAAAGAAATGCAGAAGAAAACTACTAATTACAGGTACAAGAAGCGTCAGAATCTGAACTGAAGAAGGAATGAAAGGAGAAAAGGAAAAAGGACATCACCTCTGTGCACTGCTGACTCCAGGCACATCAGAAGGTAGGAGAGCCTGGCTTCCCGGGACCGAGGAAGGTTTTCCACATTGCACCGGTATTTTTTCAAGTCACTCTTACAGGATTTGGCCAATGAATAACTGACTTTATAATCCTGGGCAATGAGCTTTTGGCGTGTAGTTAGTGCTTCTCTACACTGAGGAAAGAGTATAAGGAATGAAACCTTGAGTCTGCCCTGAGAACTTACTGTGGCTCAGCTATCTCTGATAACAAAAGCTCAGACCCAAGCATGGTGCACTGTTTACCAAAATGCCTACTTGTATGTCTGTTGTGAGTCTGCTCTAGGGTCTGGAGATATGACTCAGCAGTCATGAGCACTTGTGTCTGTCTCTTCAGAGGACCCAGGCTCCATTCTCAGTGTCTACAGGGTGGTTCACGGCCACCTACAACCCCAGTCCCAAGAGTGCTTTCTGAAGCCTTCTTCTAACCTCTGCTGACACACACACACACAGTGCATATACATATATGCAGACAAAACATTCATACATGAAAAATAATAAAAATAAATGATAATTAAAAATCTGACTCTAGCATGGAAAGAGTAAGGAGTATATCACTGGGAAACTGAGATCAGGCAGTAAATTAGGGGCTAACTGTTGCTAGAAGGACACCACATAAGGTTTTGGAGGGTCCTAATATTCTAAACTTGACACAAAGTATTATTTTTTCTTCAAGCATACTTTTGATATAAATTTCACAAGAACTAAAGTGACAGCACTCTGGGCACAGTAAATACTTTAGCTGTATAAGAAAACAAAAGATAGAATTGCAAAATTAGTTAGAGTATTAAAAAGATTCTTGTATCCCTTTAATGACAGGACTATTTAATGAGATAATAATGAAAAATTAGACAACTGGCTATCTGTGAAGGATACTGATGTGGTTAGCCTACACTACCTGAGTATGCAGAGCTAACATTAATGTGATTCTAATTAAAACTTTTTCTTCAACTTTACTCCCAAATGGTATTTCACTATATAGGCATCACGATTAGAGGATCTTCCCCCCCACCACGCCCCACTCCTTTTGGTTTGAGGCAAATACATTTTTTTTAACATTTATTTATTATTATGTGTGTATGTGTATATGTGTGTGGGTGCTGGAGATGGGTGGGTGTACTATAGAATGTGTGGAGGTCAGAGTACTACCTGCGGAGGTTGAGTACAGACCCCCTCCAATCATGGGGGCTCTGGGATGAGCTCAAGTCATCAGGTTTGGTGGCACGTGTCTTTATCCTCTGAACAATTATGCCACACTTTACTTGCTTTTTTGGTTTTTTTTTGTTTTTGTTTGTTTGTTTTTATTTTCCGAGACAGGGTTTCTCTGTATAGCCCTGACTGTCCTGGAACTCACTTTATAGACCAAGCTGGCCTCGAACTCAGAAATCCTCCTGCCTCTGCCTCCCAAGTGCTAGGATTAAAGGGGTGTGCTACCACTGTCTGGCTGCTTTACTTGCTTTTAAGATGGAAGTATGACTATGTACCCAGATTGGCCTCAAACTTTAGATCCTCCTGCCTTAGCCTTCTGAGTGAGGGTATTACACCCATGCACTGTCACACCAGGTGTCCAAATATACTCTATGTACTTAAACAAAGGAGTCTCAACTCTGGAGGGCACATACTTCATCAGTCATTCATACCTTGATAAAGGCAATTCTGTAGATTCATAGTTTGAAAATATTTGGGAAAAAGAAAAGTGTGTTTGCATTAACTACACACAGATGATTTTGCAGTCATTATTTCCTAAACAATATAATGTAGCAGCTATTAATTACAGAGACATCTCATCTGCAGCATGTGAGGTATTTAAACAATCCAGGTACTACTTAAAGTTCACAGGAGAAAGTACTTAAGTTATACACAAACACTGTGTCCTTTTTATATAAGAAACACTAAGTTTCTTGGTGTTTGAATATGTGGGTCGTGTTTTGAAATCAACCCTTTGTAAATACCACAAGAACACTATCTAAGAGCATGTCTATGAAAGCCAGGAGTGGTGGCACATGCTAACCCCGGCACTTGGGAGATAGAGGAAGGAGGATCAGAATTTCAAGGTAATCCTTGGCTCCATAGTGAGTTTAAGGCCATTCTGGGCTATGAGACTGTATTCCAGAAATAATCACTCAAACATCAACCAAAAAACGAAGCAAAAGTCTGTGAAAGCTTTATGAAATTAGTAAGCCTTTAGTTCTTTTTAAAGAGGTACCTTTTCACTCATGGATTCTTCAAATTTATGGTTAAAAAGGCATTTATACACTCTTCCTTCACCAGCTTGTGTCTGCAAGATAAAACATATACATTATTACTATTAGCTAAGTAAGTAGTTCTGCTGTGATATAGCCAGTCTTATACAGAACTTCTATTAATACAAAACTCAAAGACATATCAGAGGGAGTCTCTTACAATTTGATACCATAGTCAATAAAACTTTTTAATCAGTGGCACTGAGAGTTAATTTTATATATTCAAAACAGCAGGCAGAAGGGGAGGGCGTACATGAGTCAGAAAAGACAGATCATATACAAAGATCAGGAGTCCAGCATGTATAAGGTACTGTACTCAATCCATAGCACAGAAAGAAAAGAAGGAAGCAAAGGAAAGAAAGAAGGAAGAAAAGCAGGAGGGAATGTAGACACAGAGGGACTAAAAGTTGTCTAATGAATCAGCAGGCTCTATCCAAGGACTTGGTTTTAAAGTTAGATAACTTCTATTTCCTGTTTGTTTGTTTGTTTGTTTGGAGACAGGGTTTCTCTATGGAGCCCTAACTATCTTGGAATTCACTCTGTAGACCAGGCTGGCCTCAAACTCACAAGAGCCACCTGCCCCTGCCACCATGTATTTTATTAACCTTAATTAAAACCATATAAAAATGTAATGTAACAGAGCTTTAGCCATAGGATATGAACAAGACTTCCTGGTAAAATAAGATTCCTATAGATAAAATAGATTTTCTTCTTTCTGCTTTTCTTGAGACTAAGTTTCTGTATATAGCCCTGGCTGTCCTGGAATTCCTTCTATAGGGCAGACTATCGCCAAACTCAAGATGTGATAGCCTCTGCCGCCTCAGTGCTGGGATTAAAGTGGTGTCCTATCACCACACCACAGATAAGATAGGTTTTCAACAACTGAAACTGTGTCCAGCATGGTGGGCCTCACCTTTAATCATAGCATTCAGAGGGCATAGGAAGGTGACTCGAGACTAGCCTGGTCTAAATAGTGAGTTCCTAGACAACCAGGGCCATGAAGAGAGACCCTGTCTATAAAAACAAACAAACAAACAAACAAACAAACAAACCTAAAATGAAAGATAAAAGAAAGAAGAAAAAATAATGTGTGTAGAGTATCAGAGACACTTGTTAACAAGATGCTACATCTTTTAGACTGAGCACACAATACTATCTTCTGTGTCTTGGGGTGGATTCCATCCTCTGCGTCAGTGGTTTTCCTGAAGTATTTCAGTGTATATCTGAAATACAATACTACAGATACACTCAAAAAGAAAGGAAAAACAGCTTCTCAATGACTCACGTTCTCACAAAAGCGCTCCCGGTCATCTCGGCAAGCAAAATACAAATGCCGGTCTAAATGAAAGTCATCCGAGGACAGCTCAGCCACCCTAAGAATGGCTTTCTTGCAAAGTTCTGAGACTTGAATCTTGGGCTCTTTTTCTTCTGCTTCTTTTACCAGGCCTTTTTCCAAACATGATACCACCTCACCTTGTGAATGTGCATCCTAAAATTAGCAAAAATATTTTAAAACTTTCACCATACAGTATTCAAACAAACATTTGGTTAAAGAAATGGGTGTACAGAGACTGGTTAGATGGCTCAACAGTTAAGGAATAAGTATGGTTTAAATGTTAGGACACCACCTTCCCCCACTAAAGCACTAGGCTTTAAATTTTTTAATTACATCACTTATTTAGTTTTGTATATGTATAGCCAGAAAAAAATTGTTTTTCTTTTTTGAGTCATGCATTTGCTCTGTTGGCAAGAAATTCCTAAGAAAGTAACCTACTGTTGTTACAAGCATAGTTTATGTCAATACTGAAACAACACTGCAAAAGTACCTATTCATTTACCGCTAAAAGTTAGATACTTTTCAAGTAAGAGTGTTGTTAGATAAGTTTGAAAGACAACCGATGGGCCAAGTGAGACCACTCAGTGGGTAACGGTGATTTGCCACCAAACCTAATGTCCTAAATTCAATCCCTGGTATATACACATGGTGGGAGAGAAATGATCCTCCCAAGTTGTCCTCTGATCTTCCTGTGTGCTCACACACACACACACACACACACACACACACACAGACAAAAACAGAGAGAGAGAGAGAGAGACAGAGACAGAGAGACTGACTGACTATAATTAAAAACCAGTCAAGCACCGGGATTACAAGATTATAGGTATGTGCCACCACCCCAGGCTATTTTTTTCCAAAATAAGATATTTGCAAAGGTACCCTGAGCTTCTTCTGTCCATTCAGTAACTGAATCATATACAAATATTTGACAATGACGCCTATATGTCTGAGGCTGAGGATACAGTTCAGTGGTAGAGTGCTTGCCTAGTATATACAGCTCATGATTCAATCTCCAGCACTGGGAGATTGTGTATGTGAGGTAACATTATAAGGCTCACTGGACATGTAGGCACAGGTTTATAATCCATTGCACTAACTTGGAGATGGAGGCAGGATGATCAAGAGTTTAAGGCTAGTTACACAGTAAGCTTGAGGCCAGCCTGTGTAACATGAAATCCTATGTATTTACAAGCAAACAAGACATACAGACAAGGAAGGAAGGAAGGAAGGAAGGAAGGAAGGAAGGAAGGAAGGAAGGAAGGAAGGAAGGAAGGAAGGAAGGAAGACGAAGCTATGTGGGAGTGGCAGGCCCGAACATGCCTGATCGACTGAACAATCCAGGAGCCCAGAGGGTTGGGTGGGCAGCGAGGGATGCCTGGAATTACTGTAAAAGACATTAACCAGCAGGAGTTTGTCAGAGCTCTGGCAGCCTTCCTCAAAAAGTCTGGGAAGCTGAAAGTCCCTGAATGGGTGGACACAGTCTAGCTGACCAAACATACAGAGCTTGCCCCATATAGCAGAGCTGGTTCTACACATGAGCCACTTCCACAGCACAGCGAGCCTGCACCTCCGTGTGCAGGGGTTGGCTCCATGAACAAGATCTATGGAGAATGGCAGAGAAACAGTGTGAGGCCCAGCCACTTCAGCAGAGGCTCTAAAAGTGGTCCCGCCGTGTCCTCCAAGCCCTGGAGGGGCTGAAAATGGTGGAAAAGGACCAAAATGGAGGCTGCAAGCTAACACCTCAGGGACAGAGAAATTTGGACAGGTGGCAGCTGCCAACAAGAAGCATTAGAACAAAGGATGCTGGGTTAATAAAGTGCCTCATTCATAAGAAACAAAGAGGGGGGGGAGAGGGAGGGAGGAGAAAGGTTTATTGAAATTGTGGCTCCTTGGTAGAGTGCTTAGCATACAAAAGGCTCTAGGTTCCATTCCTGGGAGTATGTAAATCAAACAAGGTGGTCTATAATCAAACAGGGTGAGCCATATAATCCTATCATACCCAGAAAGAGAAGTAGACAAAACAGGAGTTCAAGGTCACTTTGAGTTCCTTAAAAAAGTATGCCTGTGCTACATGAAGCCTTATTAAAAAAAAGTCCGGGAGATGTCTCAGCAGATAAGCATGTAAAGTGCTTGCTGTGTACACATGAGGGCAGAGCTGGGTGGGATCCCTAGTACTCACATAAGGGGCAGGTGGACAGCGGCCCACATGTAATCCCAGCATTCTAAAGGCAGAAGAGATCTCTAGTGGCAAGCCACATTAGATCAAACAGTAAGCTTAGAGTTCAAGTGAAAGCCTGACTCAATATTTAAGAAGGACAATAGTATCCTACACAAATATGTTTACACATACAATCACACACACAAAAGAGGAAGCATACATAACGCAAACACCCATCAAGGGGGGACACTAATTAGAATGACACATGTATAACAAAATAGTCAATAAAACTTTTTCATTTGTTTATTTGTTTTTAAAGCCAATGTCTCACTATGAAGCTCTGACTGTCCCAGAACACATTACGTAGACCAGGCTGGCACTGAACTCAAAGATCTGCTGGTCTTTGCTTTCTATGTACTGGGATTAAAGGCATGCACCGCATTTGGCTCTTTTTTTTTTTTTTTTAATGTCTTTGGTGCTAGAAATGAAAACAAAGCTGGGGTGTGAGTGTGTGTGTATGTGTATGTGAGTGTGTGTGTGCACATTTGACAGGTGTCATGTGAAGATCTGAGGACAACTTATGGAAGTCAGTTCTTCTTTCTCCATGTGGATCTGGGAAATCAAACTCAGGTCAGTAAAAAAAGATTTATTCTACTTTTAAATAGTGTGTGTGTGTGTGTGTGTGTGTGTGTGTGCACGAGCGTGCGTATTTTGGGGGGCATATATACACATGAGTGCTGAAAGCCAAAAACATAGTTCTTTTGCAAGAGCTGTGTATCTTCTCAACTCCCACTAAATTATTAATTATATTGTGTTAAGAAAAAGTTGGCCTGAAAAATAGTCTTGATAAGCACTTATAATTTTGATGTTTTTATTTCTTTCATTCCTTGTCCTTTAACAAACAACAACAATACTAATCTCAGATGGTAAGGAAGGCTGGGCTTTTCCTTTGTATAAACCACTCTCTAGTTGGAAGTTTCTGATATTTCCTGTGATTTCCTTTCATGGACTGAAGAACAAGACTCAACTATTCAAGGTGCTTGGTTACAGCAGAACCACCACAGTGATACAAGCAGCAGACGTGCAGAAGCAGAGTGGCGGCAGCACGGCTCTCCAACTGAGCAGCTCTGTTGGTTCTTCCTATTATTCTTCATGACATAAATAACTTACACTCTCACTTCTAGAAACCTGCCCTTTCATTTTGACATTCACTTAGAAAGTTCAAAAGGATCTGACAATATATCTTTGTTCTAAAACTCATTTTGAAAAAATAAATCACTAAGGTTGAACATCATGATATTTTACATTGTTATACCGAGGAAGGATGAGAACAGATTAACCATGAATCCTCTCCTCTCTGATCTTTGGGGACCAATTGTGGTAGCAGCAAACTTGAAGTTTGGCCCTAAGAGGTTTGAACATGCCTGTGGCCTTAAAGGAAATGACTTAAGAAGGAATGCATTTTTCCTATGAGGTAGGCTAAGCCCCTATCACTGCCCCTTATGCGTAAGAAAACCTGGCATGTAAAGATGGATTTGATATGAATAAAAATTTCACTTAATTGGTAGTTATATCCAAAGATAAAAAGGAACTGGTTGTGTTGATATACACCTATAATCCTGCATCTGAGAAACTAGCTTAGGCTACATACAAATGCATCTGTTGTCTCCAAACAAATAAGCAAAAACAACAAAAAGATGACAATGATAAAAGTAAAGCAAAGGAGGTTCAAGGGAGCACTCTGTTATTTTATAGAACTGAATAAACAAGCTGTCTTGGCTTTCAGCTGTAGCCACTGCAGACTTAGAAACCTGAAGCTGAGAGTAGGTTTTAGCCTAGTAATTCAAAGAGTGGGGAAGCCAATCAGCTCTTGCTCTTAGGGGCAACAGACAGAACTATCCTAATAGGGAACTACACTGTCTGATCACTGAACACAATGTAAAACCATCCAAGATTCCTGGAAAGTATGTCAGAAGCACTAGTGTGGAGTTTTTTTGTTTGTTTGTTTGTTTTTTAAACAAAGAGAGAGAGGTTTGGAATCAAATGTAACCCCCAACACCCTAAAACAAAGTCTTGGGAACTTCCTAAATGTATCAGGGTGACTCAAATGCTTTTATGTCATTTCTAATCTGTTAAGAAAGACAAATACATTCCTTCCTAAAACCAGCCTTTTGTTGACTGCCTAAAAGCTTCATGTCAAGATCACAGGGCTTTTAATGTTTATATCTTAGGACTGACCATATTCTTTGAATGTACCTTGAACTGTATAAAAGCAGAATGGTGAAAAACAAACCTGCTTCAGCCTCAGCACTGGCTGGAATCACATTATAGTGTTGTCGAATTGTCTTTTTCTTTTCACTCCTCACTCCCTCCCTCCAGACCCTGCTGACTGACTGAGCTGGCTTGGTCAAGAATTCCTAACAGTAGCAACATTGCAGTTATGAAATAGCAACAAAATAATTTTATGGCTGGGAGTCATCACAACATGAGGAATGTGTTAAATGAAGGTTGAAGCAGTAAGAGAGTTCAGAACCACTGGACTAATAATTTCGAATGGAAGATCAGTTGTACTAAGGAAGAAGAAACTAGTTGAGTAGTTACTTCATTTCTGTCTTTATTATAATCAGTTCACAAGACATTTTTCTTCTGACTAGTGAGAAGTAGCTTCACCATTCTTAATTCCTCTTCTTTCAGAAAACAAAAGTGATGAAGAATATTAACTGGTAATTTGATGGTGTTTTGAGTCACTTAGGAGGTAACCCTCTGGGTGGGTTTGTGAGGGTGTTTCCAGAGAGGCTTAGCTCAAAGTACTGAAAGAAGAGTAATGTGAAAAAGTGGCAGAGGTCCTGAATGGAATAAAAAAGACAGCAAGTGGAACAGCAACTGTCTCTCTCTGTTTCCTTGCTGTGGGTGGAATGTGGCCATCCACCCCAGGCTCTCACTGTGTGCTATCTGCCCAGGTAGCCCAAATAAATCTACCCTTCCTTCCTTAAGTTGCTTCTGGTAGGCATTTTGTTACAGCAACATGGAAAATAGCTAATATAAATATTGAAATATTTTGTTACAAACTCACAAAATGTCCCAAGTCAATCAGTCTTGGACTAAAGGAATTGTCTGTACAAGTTTTTTTTGTTTTGTTTTGTTTCTTAAATTTGAAAGATCACTTCAAGGCTAGTTTTCTCTGATGTGAGTTACAAAATGGTTTTCATTTATTGAGCTCACTGGTTCATTGGAGAAGTATGTAGTAAATACCTTTTCCCCAAGACGAATGCTGCCACATTTCAAGAGGTTGATGTCATTTTTGCAGTCATCCATGAAGCCACAGATCAAGCGGTAATCACTGAAAATGATGGCCGTCATTTTAGTAATGTATTGATGACACTGATACTCAGTGATGTTGCCTCGGTGATCCACTAGGCAGGAAACCATGTAACCTTTTCCAACTGGCTCTTCAGCACATTCTTTAATCTGTTTCAAAAAAGGAAAAGTGGCTGCTTTACAGGTGTAAATTCAAGAAACCACATTTAAATCAAGCTTATTTTGTTGTTGTTACTGCTAGAAATAATTACTTACTACAGTGCCCTGTCTGGCTTAGAACTCTCAATACATCAGGCTAACCATCCTGAGGTCTGAGATTAAAAGCTCTTTACATAGGAGTCAAAAAAGGAGGACGCTTAGAAATACACTGATTTTAAGGAAAGACAGTGTCATTCTGTGAGATGACTGTTGCCTTCTCTGAACTCCTCAACTATCATTCATTCCTTGGTAGGTCTTGAGAACCCTCCTCTTATTCCATGGCATCAGGTCAGTACCACAGAATGCTGCAAAGGCCAAGAAGAATGATGACAGGCCTGGCTGGATTTCTCCACCCACTTTATATATTAGTTATGCAATGAAGTCTCCACAACAATCTGGAAGAACAAGGTTTAGAGAGTTTCTAGATTCCTAGAGGGTGGGATCCAGGAGTGGGGCATAGAGCTTGAGGCCTTTTTCCTAAACCTTGACTTGTGTATTGTATCATCTGTAACAATGGTTCTCCACCTGTGGGTCGCTACAGTGGATTAGGAGGCAGTGGAGTGGGGCTTGGGGGTCAAATGACCCTTTCACAGAGGCCACCCAAGACCATCAGAAAAGACAGATATTTATATCATGATTCATAACAGTAGCAAAATTAGTTACATAGTACCAACAAAAATAACTTTATGGGTGGGGGTTACCACAACTGAAGGAACTATATTGAAGGTTGGCAGCATTAGGAAGGCTGAGAACCACTGATCTATATCCTCTCAAACACCATTTATAAGACAGCAGTAATTATGTTTTCCTCAGTCAATCACTCAAACAGAGAAACTGTGGAAATCTCCCATTTTGGGAGATATGGTCTCTCTATGTAGCTCTGGCTCTCTTGGAACTCACTATGTAGACCAGGCTGGCCTTGAACTCAAGAGATCTGCCTGCCTCTTCCTCCTAAGCACTAAAATTAAAGGTGAACCCAAATTTTCTTTTCTATTTATTCTTCTTTCATATTACATCCTACTGCGGTTCCCCCACCCTCCCAATCCCCTAACGCACACACCTCCACTCTCCACCACATCCATTCCTCCCCCATTTCCCTTAACCCCAATTTTTTAGACAATCAGAAGAACCAGTTAAACCGCCCAGGGACCATGTATTGTGCTGAGTGCTTATAATACCAGCACCTAGGAGCTAAGAAGGACTTTGAGTTTAGAAATGAGACTTGACTGCATGTACAGTCTTGGAGGTTAATTGTCCTGGTTCCAGTATAATCTCCCTGTTGGGAGAAGAACATGTCTTTGGTACTGGGATGTTTATAACACTACAGAAGGTCACAGGGGACAGTGGTACTACTACAATGAAAGAGGGGCAGCCAAATCAAGGAGGGATTCCAGTACTCTGCAGGTAGAGGCAAGTGGATCTCCAGAGTTCTACATAGTGAGTTCCTAACCAGCCAAGGCTACACTGTGAGACCTTATCTCAAAACAAAACATCCATACAGAGACATATAGTTTCATTAACTATTTCTGTCCCTGTTATATTAAATTTGTAACTATATCAACATTGATTATTTTAAACACTAATACCCATTATCTAGTACATATGCTCAACAGACCCAACTGTAGAGCCAAGTCACTTAGGAAGGTTTATAGACCTCCAGGGAAATCTACTCTGATAACCTCAGTAGCTGTACTGAGTATCTAGGAAACAACAGAGCCTGACCTCACCCTGCTGTGTTTGTGGGTAATCACAGAAAAAGTCTAGTTACACATCCTTCTTGTATCACAACCAAGGCAGATGAGGATGCCAAGAAAAAAAAAAAAAAACAGAGTCATTCTCCTAATGAGAAGTGGGTCAACAGACTCTACTTTGTCCTACAATAGCCACAAAATTATTTCATATTTTACCTCGGAAATAGTTGACTTGCAAACCTCCCTGGCGACAGATTCAAATTTGGGATCAGTAGTCAGGTTCAGCTTGTAATTCCACAACAACTGGGTTCAAGAGAAGAAGAAAACAAAACAAAACCCTTTTGGTTAGACCACCATGAAGTTCATCATCAGTGATTATTATAAATAACAAAAACTAACTGTATAGTCACATAAAGCACATTTACATTTCCAGTAACACAAAAGTCATAACATTCGTAGAAAAAAGCACAAAATATTTACAAACATAAAGCAGCACCCAGCATTCAGATGTTCTTTCTTCTTTCCTGGTAAATGACGTTTTTAAAGCTATGAATTAAAATTATGTGGTACAGGAGCTAGAGAAATGGTTCAGTAGCTAAGAACACGTACTGCTCATGCAGAAGACAGTTCCAGAACTCAGGCTCTGAGGCTCATAACTGCTTACAAATCCAGCTCTGGCCTCCGTAGACACTGCATACACATACACAAGATATCCACAGATAGACACACTTTATTAAAAGTAAAAATAAAAAATTTTGTGGTATTAAGAGAAACTAAATATTAAAAAAGTCCCTGATAAAGTTTGGGAGAAAATATCTGCTTCCAAAAAGTTGGCCCCAAATGTTCACACGTGGCAGGGTTTGTCTGAGATTTCACAAATTAGGATTTTCCTTATATCAGCCTTAAGGAAAGGTGCTCAGATTCTAGTTTCCAGGAATATCCAGCTTTATTCCCTAAAAATATTTGATTGACCATTCACTACATGATTTAGTTTTTTGGTTTTGCTTTGTATTTATTTATTTAGTGTGTACAGGTGTTTTGCCTGCTGAGACTAACTACCACTGTGGCATAGACCTCTCCTTTGAGGGTGCTACTACACAGTAGATATCTCAATGAAAGAACTTTTAAATGAAGCTGTTGGCTGGGCAGTATGGCGCCCGCCTTTAATCCCAGCACTTGGGAGGCAGAGGCAGGTGGATTTCTGAGTACGAGGCCAGCCTGGTCTACAAAGTGAGTTACAGGACAGCCAGGGCTACACAGAGAAACCCTGTCTCGAAAAACCAAAAGAGGAAGAGGAAGAGGAAGAGGAAGAGGAAGAGGAAGAAGAAGAAGAAGCAGCAGCAGCAGCAGTTGACATGATAAGCAGGGAACTAATTCTTTTTATATGGTAATTGTAATAAGAAAGGCCATGAGTAATTATTATTGGCCAAGCCTGATGATTCCTACAATGAAATGGTGTTTATAAAGTTCCTTAAACAAGGCTTATTATCCACTTAAAACTAGTAGCATCAGAGAAAATATAAAGCTTCCAGAAAAAAATGAAAGAGCATCCCAAAATCTGTCATCATATTTATAAAGCACAGATGGTGAGTCACTGAAAATCCATACTTACATGATTGCAGTCTGAAGAAATCTCGTTCTCGGGCTAGAAGAAAAAAAAGCAATGTTTGAAAAACCAAACAAACACTAAAAAACCCAATCCCTCAAGTTTTCAAACATCAAAAAATTAAAGTCAAAACCAGAATCTGAATATTTAATCAAATGTCTTTTTAGCACAGGAATAAACTGGAACCAACACACCTTCCAGATCTCTGAGGGCAAATTTACCAGAAAGGTACATATGAAAAACAATCCCTTCTGTATCAAAAGTATAATGTGGAAATGAGAAAATATACAATAATGCAACAGCAACATTAGTACTCTTCTTTTTTTTTAAATGACATTTTCTAACTTTGAATGCTACAGAGCAGAGTCTGGAGAGATGGCTGTGTAGTTAAGAGCACAGGCTGCTCTTCTGAGAGACCTGGGCTCAGTTTCTAGCACTCACACAGCTAGCCACAACATCTGTAACTCCAGTTCCAAGACATCAAATGCCCTTTTCTAGATTCCATAAGCACTGCACGAATGTGGTACGCAGACATACTTGCACACAAATCATAAAACATGTAAAATTAAAATTAATTTAAAAAGAAACTAGAGGACCAGCTAGAGCTAGATGCACTGAGAAGGCAAAGGCAGGTGGATCAATGTAAATTTCAGGCTAACCTAGTCTACACAGTGAGAGCCATCTCAAACAAAACAAAATAAAACATCACACACTGAGGGACAGACAGTATGGGTTTTTTTTAACTAATGAGAAATTAGATGCCTACATACAATCCAGGGTTCCTGAGCTGAGTCTGGTGGGTCACTCCTAGCACTTGGGAGGCTGAGACAAGAGGATGGTCACAATTTTGAGGCTAGCTTGAGCTACATAGTGAGATTTTACCTCAGAACCACCTCTCTCAAAACCAAAGCAAGCAAACAAGTCCTAGGCTTATCAGAGTACAGAGGAGGTCCAACAATGGTTTAAAAACTAATTTAGGGTATTTTGAAACTAGGGCAAGAGGAATGTGGATTGGAGGTAACTCTAGGCTATATAGCGAGAAAGTAGCTGAATACAGCAGTTTGGGTTTGTAATCCCTGTATTTGGGAGGCTGAGATAGGAGGGTTGGTGTTAGTTTGAAGTCAGTCTGAGTCATGTTGTGAATTTAAGGCCAGACTGGGTTTAATGTGAGAGACCTCGTTCCACAAAATTAATTAATTAACTACGATTTAAAAATTCAGGATTTGCTGGGCGGTGGTGACGCACGCCTTTAATCCCAGCACTTGGGAGGCAGAGGCAGGCGGATTTCTGAGTTCGAGGCCAGCCTGGTCTACAGAGTGAGTTCCAGGACAGCCCAGGCTACACAGAGAAACCCTGTCTCGAAAAAATAAATAAATAAATAAATAAATACATAAATTTTAAATTTTTTTTAAAGGAACTCAAGAATGAAGCCATTAAATATAACAGTGCTGTTTTTTGTTTGTTTGTTTGTTTGTTTTTTGTTTTTTCCAGACAGGGTTTCTCTGTGTAGCCCTGGCTGTCCTGGAACTCACTCTGTAGACCAGGCTGGCCTTGAACTCAGAAATCCGCCTGCCTCTGCCTCCCAAGTGCTGGGATTAAAGGTGTGCGCCACCACCACCCAGCTTTTTGCCATCTTATTATTATAAATCACTGAATTTGTGCCAGTGGACAGATATTTGGACCCCTGTTTGTTGACATGAATCTGCTGCCTACTCTAACTCTAAGGTGTTCTTTCTCTGTTTTTCTCCCTTCCTTCCTTCCTTCCTTCCTTCCTCCCTCCCTCCCTCCCTCCCTCTTTCCCTTCCTCTCCCTCCCTCTCCCTCTCCTCCCCCCCCCCTCTCTGTGTCTGTCTGTCTGTCTGTCTGTCTGTCTGTCTGTCTGTCTCATTGGGAGGGAGGGATCAGGATCTCACTTTGTATGTAGTTCTGGCTAGCCAGAAACTCAAAAGACATGCCTGCCTCTGCCAGAGTGATGGATTTAAGGGCATGTCCCACCACTCTTTTTTTTTTTAAACTGAAGTGACAGGGCCAAAATTTGCACCTACATGCTTTGAGTTCAAAGTCCATTGGTTTAGTTTACTCCCTGTGTGTTCTTAGTGTAAGGGTAGCAAACCTCTTGGTCAGGTTCCTGCTGCAACAGTTCTAAGAGTGAGGTCTCTCTACTAGCTGAGAAAGGCCAGTTTATTTGCTGTCCATATCTCTGTAGGCCACATTTCTAGTTAAAGTGGAGCAATATTCACTGTGAAGTGGTACAGATGAAAATGATGTAAAAATAAATCTGTAATTACTGCCTGACAAAATAGAGCAGTCTGTCCAAAAGTGTAGTAACAGCTAGTTACTGCAATGAGGAAGATGAAATCATACATGGCAAAGTTCTTTGGAAACTGAAGCAGCTTTCACATAAAAATAAACACTATACATTAGCTAAAAGAAAAACAAATTTGGCCAGGCAGCAGTGGCATACCTTTCTTTAGTCCTAGCACTTGTGAGGCAGAGGCAGGAGGATCTGAGTTCAAGGCCAGCCTGATCTACAGAGTGGGATCCAGGACAACCAAACCAAAACGAAAAATAAATTTAATGTTACTATAAGAGAAAACTCTAAGGCTGGGCAGTGGTGGCACATACTTTTAATTCCAGAACTTGGGAGGCAGAGGCAGGTGGATTTCTGAGTTCGAGGCCAGCCTGGTCTACAGAGTGAATTCCAGGACAGCCAGGAATACACAGAGAAACGTTGTTTCAGAAAAACCTAAAAAAAAAAAAAAAGAAAGAAAAAAAAAACTCTATGATGTGTACACTGAACTTCTATATACTATTATTTTCAGATTTCTTTCTTTTCTTTTGTTTTTTTTCCAGACAGAGTATCTCTGTGTAGCCCTGGCTACCCTGGAACTCTTATCTGTAGATCAAACTGGCCTCAAATTCACACATATCCACCTACCTATGCTTCCTAGTGCCGGGATTAAAAGTGTACACCAACATGCCTGGCTCATATTTCCTTCTTCCTTCCTTTCTTAAAGATTTATTTATTTTATTCGTTTGTCTCCTTGCCTATCTGCACACTATATGCACTCATGTGACCAAGGAGGCCAAAAGAACTGAGGTTCCTCGAGGTTGTAACTGCCAGATGTGTGGGTGCTAGGACTTGAACTCCAGCCCTCTGGAAAAAGAGAACCTGAATACCTGGCTCTTACTAAGCCATCTCTACAAGCACCTACTTTTCAAATTTCTTATGTCTATAGTGTTGAAAACTAGAATGCTGGGCTGGCAAGATGGTTTGACAGGATAAAACCTCTAGCCCAGTGAGAAATGCCAACTTACCCCATCTTTAAAACTTTTACACAAATCTTTTAATCTTCCCAACATGCTAAAACTTTTGTTTGTAGAAAGCACTGGTCCCTCCCTCACTTTCTCTATATTTCATAGATGGCTTAGCAGCTGACCCTATCTTTCTTTTAAAACTAGCCAAGTGGAAAGACTATGAGGTTGGGCCAAAGCTAGTGGGGAAGGCACAGTACCTCAATACCCGGCCAGAATTAGAATAAAAGGTAAGGGAACTTCCTGCCCGCTGTGTTCGTGCTAACCTGGCTTGGACAGTGCTACACCCTTTTTGAAAAAAGCTCTTGGCCTATTCAGATGCTTCACTTTGTTCCTATGTTTCCTACATCGAGACTACTCTTTCTTTGTTTCTAACACACAGAAATCAGACATAGTAAATTCTACCCCTGGAAACCCCATGGTAGAAGTCTAGAACCAACTCCAAAAGCTGTCCTCTGACTTCCATGAGTGTGCTCTGATATATGCACACTTGCATGCACACATACATAATTTTTTAATTGAGAAAGGAATTATTAGTAAGTCAAGAAATTACACAAAGTATTAAGAAGAAAAATACTTCTACTGAACTATTAATTCAATCCAGAATAGGAATTAATATCATAGTTATTTATAAAATCTATTTAAAATGGACCTAATCCTCACAGGCACATGAAATAAATAAGTAAAATGTAATTGAAAAATTAAAAAAAACAAACAAAAAACAGGGATGCTGACACACACCTTCAGTCTCAGCAGAGGTAAGAGGATCTCTCTGAGTTTGAGGCTAGTTTAGTCTTTATAGTAAATTCCAGGTCAGCCAGGGCTACATATTGAAATCCTATTTCAGACTTGTATGGACTCCATAGGAAGACCAACAGAGTCAACCTGAATCCTTGGTGGTGGTGGGGGGCCCTCCAAAGACTAAATCAACAACCAAGGGGTGAACATGGGCTAGATCTAGGCCCAGGCATGTATGTAGCAGATATACATCTTGGTTTTCATGCAGGTTCCCCAACAACTGGAGTGGAGGCTGTCCCTGTACCTGATGCCTGCCTATGAATTCCGACTGGCAGCCTTGTGTGGCCTCAGTGGGAGAGGATGTGCCCAGTCCTGCAGTGACTTCATTTCCAAGGTGGGGTGATACCCAGGGGAGGCCTTCTCCTTCTCAGAGAAGAGGAGGGGGTAGAGGGGAGAAGCTGTATAAGGGGGGCAATTGGAAGAGGTGGGGGCACATATTGGGATATAAAGTGAATAAATAAATAAATTAATGAAAAAAAAAAGTAAAATTCTAGTCCCACTTCAAAAAAAAGGTATGAACAAAAGTTGGAAATGAAACAAACATTGGAAGGTTTGGCTTGTTGATAAAACCCCATCTTAGGTTTGAAAGCTATCTTATAACAAAGACAAACTAGAATCATTCTTGCTTATGATTAAATCTGGTTCTCAAGGGTTGGGCTATGCCCTACCTGTAACCTTAACTACAAATGGTTCTGTACTGTCTGTTCCAGGAAATGGCAATTACACATCTTTGCTTCAAGAGGCTGTTAAGACCACCTTGCAAGCAGGTCTTTGTTTCAGGAGGCTGTTGTAACCAAGGTGTAAAGCTTATGTTCTGCTTCTGTAACCCCACCTATTTGCTTGTCAAATCTCCCATTTGGAACCTCCTACTCCTGAACTATAAAACCCTGGTCTTCCCCATGTCCATGATCTCTTGAACTCCACCTT